AAACGCACTTATTTAAATGTGCTTTTAATATTTGACTGATTGTTTATTGTATCAGCGCCTTTGATCTTCATATGTTGGAATTGTTACGCTTAATTAAATAAAGTTATTATTTTTATTATTATGAATCCCTTTTGGGTAAACTTATTATGGCATCAGAGGGAGGCTTCTCGAGAACAATGAATTACTGTGAATGGTGAAGCATCATAGTGGAGAAGGGTCAAAACTGGAATGCTTCAGGGGACCAATCTTATTGGTCCTACAGTCATCATAGCTTGAAAGGTGACATGATACATGTGTACAAGTGTATTAACAATTATATCAAAATCTCCAATTCATTAGGCAGAAGTGTTGCAAGGAGGAACAGTGGGAATAACCTTGCCAGAAGTGGTTGTGAAAGTGTATCAATGAAAGCCATTAAATTGCTACTATAGAAGTAGTCCTGGATTGTGTACGACTTGTACTATACATTAATATATTCTGCTTTGCACTTACAGTGTGATTTTGGAGTATTAATTTTTGGACTCATATTTTTGCAGACAATGACACACTACATGTGTAATTTAGAGTGGTGAAATGAGTGACGTGTTGACCAATGTTCCATTATTTCAAAATGTCAAGAATTATAAAACCATTATAATATCGCCTATTACTTCCATGCATGATGACGCAAGTATAAATTCAAAATAATACTTATTTTTATTTGTTCATTTTATTTTAGACACATGTACACTCACCTTTTAAGCACTTTTGAATTTCACAAGCGTATTTTTGACATGGTTCAACATTTTTTTTCTGCACTCTTGACATATTTATAAATTAAGAGAGGCTACAGAGCTCGTCAACACTGTCATCGTGCGTATGGCCAGACATTCACCGGCAACATGCCCACCTGATCAGCAGATGTCAGCTGACAGTCACGGAAATTATAAACATGTGGAGTAACGAAATAAAAAACAAACTAAGTTATTTACTTCCGGTGTTGCTACGTTATGGCAGTTTACGTAGAATGGTTAGAATTCTGAATACGCGTAGCGAAATAGTTCCAAGATGCTTGAATTTCTAATTTCACCAGAAATTAAATTACCGATCTTTACCACCTTATCAACATTCTGTAGTAAAAATACAATTTTCCGTGCGCATTGCTCATTTTGTGTTATGATTATTTCGTCGCACAATTCCTTTTTGCGGATGGATATTGACGTGATTTCTCTCTGCTAGCAACCGAGTCAACATCACCGTGAGTGCAGTTCGCATAACAACTGGTCAGTTGCGAACGTAGCTGTGTGGACTTTTCATATCATTCGTAACACAGCACAGTTTATTGTATATTTCATATATATAATAGCCAAGTCAGCAAAGATGTCTTTGCCATTTCTGCCAGGGAATTCATTCGATCGTACTGTAAGTATGAAAATTGTTTCTGATCTCTTCAAACTCTAGAAAATGCATGGTCAAAACATGTCCTTTATCATGAAACTTTAAAATACGTTACACACTGTATTATAATACGGCAATGAAATTATAGGTGTTCCTAATATAGTTATTAACGGCCTGTGACTAGTATCTCGATATTATATCTGGGAACAGTTTCTCAAATCCTGTTCAATTCCAACAACAGTATGACTATCTCCAAACGCATGAATAAAGCTCTAAGGCACGCATTAAACTCCACCTCATCCGGCCCCTGCACAAGCAAATGCAAACACAGTATTAATATGCACAGTTAGTCAGAGATGAGAGCGAAAATATTACCTATTAAAACTGTTGTATCCTTAGCTTGATAAGGCCTCCTTAAATTTGCATTGGTGTTTTAATGTGTTATTAATTTATTTCTGAGGAACAACGAATCATGTAGATAACATGTCTCTTTTTACCCTCATCAAGTTCATGATTATATGATGAAAGGTAAACACTGGATTGGCTTTAATTTTGCTGTTAATTTGGTTTTATAAAAATAGCAATTAAAAGCTGTAATAATTCTTAAAACAGTAATTGTACATTAAATTTTATAGTAGAACTGCATTGGTAATGTACATGTAACGGTTCTGATGTCAGCTACATTGAAGTTACTCTTACAGTCAGAATATTTTTATTTATATTTCAGCTTGGAAAAGGAAAATTTCATAAATCCCACCACTTTGATCACTGTAACGATGTGTCGTTGTTGGTCGGCGAGCACAAACCTGGTATTGGCGGCAAAAGACTTTTAGGACAAAAGTCTAAGCCAAGACACAGCAATATCCCGAGAGGTGAAGGGAACGCAGCTCCAGCATGGGTAGCCTTTGACCGTCAAGTGCTCTGCTTTGATGCCTACTTCCAAGAAGCCGTCCATGAGAAGCGTGAGGAGCAGTTCCGAATCCGGAATTGTAAGATCTACTTTTATCTGGAGGATGATTCCGTTCAAGTTACTGAACCTCAAGTGAAGAATAGTGGTGTTCCACAAGGTGAGAGATTAGATCTCAGTAGTGTAACTAAAAAGAAGTTTGGAATTTAATGGTTGCTACATCAGGGTATAGGAATAACATTTTGTAAACTTTCAAAGGGCAACCTGCATGTTTACAATACAAATTCAACATTTTTAGTATGAAACCGAATTCTCGGCATCAAATCGCATATTCACTATCATCTGTCTGTAAACCGATTTAATTTAACAATAGACAAAAGTCATGATATTTGTAGCTGTGAAAATTTCACTCGTGCCTTACAAAACAGGTTGAGACTTTTGCAAAAACTTGGTCTTCACGAACGTCATGAAATAATCAAATCATGCAAATTTCTAGCAGCAAAATGTACAGGGTTTACATTAGAAAACACTCGCCCCTTCCTCTTCTATGCGAAACTGACACTATCACTTGCATGCAGGTCGCCTAACAACAAATCGGCTGTTTTATTTTAATTAGGTCACATGTCATTGAATATTTATTGAAGTGATTATCTTATTGGATTGTTACAGGAACCCTGATTCGTCGCCATCGCATCCCACTGCCACCTCCTAATGATGATGAATTCTACACCATTGAGAACTTTAATGTTGGCAAAGAAATCACCTTGTATTCACGTACATTCAAAATTACCAACTGTGATCAATTCACATATAACTTCCTCCGTAAACTTGGAGTGCGGGTAAATCTTCCAGAAGATACTCCAAGTGATCCATATACTAATCACAGGAAAAATGTGAGTATATATAGACGTGTTCAGCTGAAATGGTGTATTCGTAATCCTAATTGATATCAGCATTTGTAGAGTTTTCATAATTACAACCAGATGTCTATTTTTCTGTTTTTCAGATGGATGAAACTCAACAACCGCTCCGTCCATATGAGAAAGTAGACACCCTGAAGCAGTTCTTGGACCATGATCGTCATGTTCTGCGTTTCTTCTGCTATTGGGATGACAGTGATAACATGTTTGGAGATTCACGCGAGATGGTCTTGCATTATTTTCTGGCTGACGACACTATCGAGATCCGTGAAGTCATTCCAGCAAACTCTGGACGTGATGCTGCACCTATGTTTCTACGACGAGCACGCTTACCTAAGACTGCACCCGAGTCTCTGCGACAACCCGGTGAAAATACTGGTCGCACCGTACTCAACGTATTTGGACCCATGGGCCATGGTGGACGCTACATCCTTGATAGTCTCAAGGTATTTACAATTCTAAAACTGCTGTCCAAATCGATACCATTTTTGTTGAGGTTTGAATGTATTCTACATTCTTTGTTTTGTGAAGTCATCAAAAGCAGTTACCTTGATGCCCAACCAGTTTGTCATTCCTTGCATTATTTCTATATGCTAAGCTCTCTCAGAAGTTTAACCCCTGCTGTATATATTGTTTGAGACAAATGTTATAATCAACATATTTTTTATTTCAACCTCTCAGACTGGCGCAGTAATCACCGATTACTACACTGACAGAGATCTTCAGATTGGTTCTATCGTTAATGTGTGGGGAAGGAAGTTTGTACTCTGTGATTGTGACAATTTCACAAAAGAATACTACAGAACAAAATTCGGACTAAGTGAGTGTTCAATCTGTTTCACTTTCAGTAAAATTGGTCTAAACCTTGGATCATCAGAGTCTAAGTTCTCAAATTATGTTTTCCATTTTTGACTGTAATGATTTATTTTATAGTTGGGTTATGCACATAATCTAGACATCAATTCACAGGTTACTATAGCGACTGTCACTCCCAGGAAGCTAGGCTAGACTTCTAATATTTAACATTCTCATTTTTTTTAGCCGACTTTTCTGCACTCCAATACAAAGGCGATAAGCCGGGCAGATACGAAAAGCAATGGCCACCTTACAATGGTTTTGGATCTGAGGAAGATTCACTGTGTTCATGTATGGGATTATTACCCAAGCCACCACGCAGAGATTTCATCAAATTTATGGAGAAAGACAGGTAAAAATTAACTCCAAATATGTATATTTAATCTCTTGTAGCAAGTAGCAGATTTTGAAATTCAGAATTTCCTGATGTTCAATTGACGTTGTTTTCTTGTCGCATCTTTTGTATAGACATGGATTAGATAGTAATGTTCTGCGGTTTGTTGCCCGTCTTGATACGACTAAACCAATTGATATAGACAGACGATTCATCATCTCCTACTTCCTGTCAGATGATAGTATTGCTGTCTTCGAACCACCGCAGAGAAACTCTGGTAAGACTGTCATAATTGTTGCTTAAGTCTTTCACTCAGAAAATACTGTCATACACAACCAGGCTTCTGGTCACAGGTGCACACCGACACACATATTGAAAATGACAATACCAGACTATACAGCTTACAGCCAAGTACATCCAATTCAGATACCAATCACTCAATTCTAGAGACTAAATCTACTAGCAACTAAGTGGTTTTCTTTATTTCCATCTCCTCCAGGTATAATTGGTGGTAAGTTCCTAGAGAGAGGACGGATTAAGAAACCAAACCAGCCTCGGTTCAGTACCAAATTATCAGAGTATTTTATGGCTACTGATCTGTACGTTGGCAGCCGTGTTGATTTCAACTGTCACATTTTCATCTTGACTGACGCCGATGAGTATGCATACCGCTATATGGAGAAACACGCACAGGAGGTAATGACATGCATCTGTTTTATTCTGATCTTGAAACAAAGTAACTTGTCAGATATAGCTGAATCATGTGTTGTATGGTGAGCAATTCGTTTCTAATAATAACTTATTTTGATTTCAGTTCCAAGTGGCTGATATTAATGCTATTCTGAAGAGATTAAAGGATGTGGGACAGGCCAATGTGGAGCAAATTGCTGATTTCTTCAAGAGAAATGACCCAGACAGTTTGGGAAAAATACGCTATGAACAGTTCAGGTAATTAACAGGTCACTCTCTAATATTCTCAGTATGGAATTTAACAAGGATGAGTTTCTTGAAGGTCAATGCGTTGTTTTGGATTTGTTACATCATCTTCAGCTGAGGAAATTTACAATATTTCATCTTCAGACTTCGATGCAAGATGGTAGATCAAATTAATTGAAATTAGTTAACAAATTGAATTGAGAATTGATTTACTAATGCTTTTGGTAGCAAACAAAAACATCCCAAATTCATTGTGTACAAATAATAATGAATGTTTTTCCCCCCCCCCCACAGAACCTTGCTACAACAAATAGCTTCTAGCAGACTAACAGAGCATTCGATCGTTACAATTGCCCGTTACTTTAGTGATCGTCAGGAGGATAGGATAGACATTACAGTGCTGGCTTCTATTGCCCAAGAACAACTACGTAAAAACAACTTTGAGAATTTTGCCAAGTTGATTGAGAGTTTTACACATCACGATACTGATGCCTCTGGTTACATTGACCCAGAGCAAGTGCGTAGTGTGTGCCATGCATTCCATGTGCCGCTACCTGATGACCTTCTAAGAACTATAATATCGAGGTAAGTGTGAGTTCTGAATGGGATATGATCATGTGGTTGACTTCAGTCTGCACAATGAGTATAGTACAAACATATGCACTTGCATGTGTGTATAATTTTCAAACTAAACCAAGTTTAGCACTGGCAATTCTGTAAACTGTTAAATTGTCACTAGAATTGTTTTGAAGTTAATAATTTGACAAGTTTCACAAGAACCTAATTTTACTATGACTCATTGTCTAAAAAAAGTCCTGTAGTGAACAAGAACTGAAAGGCCTGAAAAAAAAAGGTATTGCAACACTTAGAACTGTCATCATTTTGTTTGTTACAGGACGATGTTCTATGTAGGTCTCAATACTATATACATTTTTATACTAATATGTATTATATGTATACTTCAAATGCTCTATGTTTTAAATGTATTGTTTATACAAAATGTTACTGCTTTTGAATATACTCTGCCACAATGACCACTGTTCATATCAACATATGCTTCTGTCATGGGAAACATGGAAGTCCTGTTGAAAGATACTCTCTCCACATGTTATTTGATGTTGGTTTTGCGTTCTATTTTCAATTCTATGCATGTTAATTCACTGCATGGAAGGTACTAACGGAAGGAGCCACGACGCTATTGTTATAGCTTTACCCCATGATCGTTTGTCATTGTTTGTTCACAAACATTGGTTCTCGTTAGCTCTTAACACCTTCGTACAATGGGTTACGATAATCTCGAGCATTCAGGGCATGTTCGGAAGCGATAGACGAACCTCACATGTACAATACTGAAAATGGCATCTAGTTTGAATGCTGTTGTTTCCGGAGATTTTGGCGAACTTTAATTGGCAGATATAACATCGATTGAAGAAGAACTGATGAAATATCGTGAATCTTTTTGTATTTGTAATGGTGATGAGACTTAATCAATAATTGCCTGTGACAATAACCATTGCATTATTCAATGGTACCATTGTCATTGCGTTGGTTTGTTGCCCGAAACTACAGTTTACAGTTGCTAATAATTAAAACATGTGAAATACGTGAAGTCAAACGTTCATCTGTTGAAATGCCAGCTGCGAAATACGTATTTTGACCTTTCGCACCTAAACAAACAGAGTACGCATGTGTGATGACCATAGTTTCATAATGCGCATACATTTTATGGTCACATTTAAAAATCGGCAAGGTTATGTCATATTCCGCTAACTCGTTACTTGTGTAAACAATCGCAAACTAGCATCGACATCAAGGATAAGCTAGACAATGTCCTCATCAGGATTAACTTGGGTTGAAACAAAAGAAAATAAGCCTGTAAAGAAGCTTGAGTGGCCACCTGAGAGGCGTCGTGGCTCCTTCCGTTACTACCTTCCATGTTCACTGTGACAGAAACAGTCACTGAGTGATCTAAAAAATAACTGAAATACCACTTCACACTTCAGTGGATTTAATGTTTTAATTTAATGTTTAATAATCATATTGTTTTATTTTTGTTATGTTCACAGAGGGGAAATGAACGAACAAGGCCAGGTGAATTATTCTAGTTTCATAAAGATGTTGAACTGGCGAGAGAACCCAATCACGAACGTACAATACACCCAGCCACCTATGACCTTAGACCAAAGCTGGTCCGGAAACAGCCCTAGTGAAGGTGTCCAGTTTGTCAACTATGTTGCTTTAATGCAGGAACTGTTTGGAGCATCACGAGAATAGATAGAAAATATTAAGATAGAATATGTGGAATATTATACAACTATGAAACATGTTTTTGGAGTGATAGTAACAAGAACAACAACAACAATTTTTGTGGATATACTGTACAAACAAGTTATAATATTTTCTATGTATTAAAATTTGAAGACATTATTTAAAAAAAATAAAATTTTCCATTTATAAAAGAAGGCCTCTTTTTATAATTAATTCTGTTGCATACATATCTAGCAGTGTTTAAAAGTCAGAACATTTAACTTTGAAAGTTGCTATTGTTTATTTTTGTGGGCCAGCTGTGTGCAACTTCACTGTTAATACTATTTTGTAGATGAGTATTTTTTTTACTGTAAATTGTTTTTAGAATGAGAATTGGAGCAAGATTGATTGTAAATATGTTGATTTTTTATCTTAAACCCTCAATCCATGTGTACTGTAACTGATATTGTTATTATGCAAATAAATAATTTGCTTATATAATATTTATAGCAACATTTGTTGTAATATTTTCAATTTACCTTGTCATGATTGGTTTGCCCCTATCGCTGAGTTTAACCGACTCTAATGTTTGTGACACTTGTGAGAGCCGGATTTGTCCGACATTGTTCAGTTGGCTGATCTTGATCAGTATAGTTGTTTCATTCATAGCCTAACATGTAGGCTTTAGTGGTGCCCTCACAGGCTGAACGGCATCAGATCCCCACAAAAGCCTGACAGAATAGTGTATGTCTCGTTGGCAAGATCAATACTGCAAATTCGCAAAGTTCACGCCTTCTTTGTGTTGGCTTTGGAGCACCATGGAAGGCGCATCTCGCATGACATTTTTCAGGCTCATAACATTCATTGCCTATTGAAATTGTGCATTAAAAATAAATAAAAGACTCTGACTTTTCACACAAGATCTGCTGATTTAAAATTCACTTCATACTTTACACATAAATAAGATTAACTGCTCAAAGAATGCATATTTGATGATCTGACCAGAGATGAATGAAAGATCTCATCCTTGGATATGTATTCTTATATTTGAGACTATTATGAGACCAATATGTACAAACCTAATTAAATATGCAGGGATTTTTTTAAACAAGGGAACAGGTCCTCTGGCAACCATAAAATTCTGATTGACCAGGGATCACATGTGGCCACAGTCTTCAAATGTGACCTATCTTATAGTAATTTTGGCCCAAGGGAAGCAATAGAATGCTCTATTTAGAATTATCAGAAACTCCACACCCTGGTAGGGAGAACCCTATCTTACCCACTTGGTGGCCCCGCTGAATTGCAGTGCTCCCTCTTGCAGTTTTTTTCTAGAAAAAACCCTGTATATATACATGTGCATCATTATGTTTCTATGATCAAAAAAAAAGATGACCAATGTACTGGAAAGCTTTTGACGTGGAAACCTTAAGGGCGACTCTTTGAAATTTGTTTCCCAAAATATTTTGTGTGGCGCCCTCTATGTTAAGTATCTAGTCGCAGAACGAGCGTGAGATTAAAGTAGATTTAAATCAAACACTCAGATCTACGGGAAGGATAAACTAAATCCTGTGAATTCCACCTAAGCGTTTGAAGTACATAAACAAAGTAAACAATTATTAATGTTGTTGACGAGTTATCCACTATGTATATTAGAGAAGATAATACACACACACAGGTTACTAATGTAAATCATGACTAAATTATGTACAGGTCTTCTATAAATTATGTCTGACTATAGTTTCAAAAAATGCATTCTGATGTAGCTGTGCTCTGAATTGTCATTTCCTTTGCCTGCCTGCCCATGGAATACGTTATATCCCCTCTAGTGGTAACACCCGCTCCAAATTTTTCGATTTCGTTTAATACTTTCCCTGGTGACATCACATGAGCAGAAGTGTTTTACA